GTATGTTTTTGTATTTGTGAGTGTGTGTACTTTCACATGACAAAAAAAAGAAGATTATAACTTGAAACTTTTAAAAACGTATTTGTACCTAATGAATATGTATGTCCATAATCCCAGCATTTTAGTAGGCTGAGGCAGAAAAATCACAAGTTTGATAATAAAAAATAAATGGGGGGATATTACTCAGTTGTTAAACACTCCTGCATTCAATCACTGTTAATAAAATTTTAAAAAATCTTTGAACTTCTTGTCTATTCATCTTTTATAAGCATAGACAGCAAGTGTACGGTACACTAAGAAACTTTAGACTTCAATGTGTCTTCAATGTCTGCCATGTCTTTGACTGGTCATAGGTGCAAGAGTTGTATGAAGTTGGCCCAAGGTGCCAACAACTGCCGTGGATTTTCAATTACCTAGAGAATACCAGCCTGTTTGTAATCATCCCTTCCTACAGAGGAGCTTGCAGTTGGGAAATGGAGTACCTTGTTGGACTATCTGGGTACTCTAGAGATTACAGGAATATCCTGTATAAGTTTTATGTAAATAGATCATATATTGGAACATTAATATTATTTTTCCAAAATATTAGATTCAGATGCCCAGAAACACATTTTGATCAACCAGGTTAATTCTAGAGCTGAAGAGAAAGGCAAACATGAGGGTCTGGGGTTGTAGCTCAGTGGTAGAGCACTTGCCTCAAACACATGAGGCACTGGGTTCAATCCTCAGTACCACATAAAAATAAAATAAATGTATCATGTTCACCTACAACTTAAAAAATATTTTTTTAAAAGGCAGAGATGATCAGTATCCTCTTTCCTCTTAACCATCTAGGGAAGAGAGATGATAAGTTGTCACCATTTGAAAAGAGAATAAACTACAAAAAGTACTTAGGAAAAAAAAATCCTAGTGTGTTTGTGCAGAAGTTTCCAAGGGAAAACTCACTACATGCTGATTGAAAGATATGAAGGTTGGGTGGTCACTGAATATTTAAGCAAATTAAATGGTGGATGGAGAATGTCTCATTTTAGTCTAACATTCTCATCATCTATGAAATGTATCATATCACTAATATTTGAATGATAAAAATGTTTCTAATCATAAAATACAAAGGCAAATTTCAGAATAAAATTATATTCAAACTAAGGTCAATTTTGATCTTTAAAAGAATACCATTGATGTTTAAGTTACTTATTAATTCTATTGGAGGCTATAATTTTTATTGTTGTGTAGCTTTTTGTAGACTGTCATATTAGACAAATTTAGACATAGGTAACAAGTGGCTTTTTTTTCTAAATATATATTGCAATACTGGGTAATAATCATATATAAGATATGGATGTATCTCAAATGTTAGGCTATCAATGGCTTGTTTTTAGAGGAAAGAACCAAAGAAAGAAGATGAAAGGGAAATGGATTAAAGGAGGGTAGAACACTCATATGTTGCTGGGCATGCCAATAATTACAACTACTTGGAGGTTGAGGCAGGAATTTCACTAGCTATGGTTTACAGGAGAAACTCAGTGAGAACCTGTCTCAAAAGGAAAAATAAATTAAAAGGATTAGGGATGTATCTCAGATATAGAATGCCCCAGTACTGCAATAATAAATTAAAATTCTAAATGAAAAAAATTCTTTACTCTGAAGCCAACCAATACTTAAGAGGTTTTAGAAAAATGGTGTGGATGTTGGTTTATGCAGACATGAGATGGCTCAATATTCTAAATAGGGGCAAGATTTAAGCTACATTTTGTCACAAATGCTTGTTCTGACCACTTAATGTAAAAGCATTCAACTAAAAGTTTTTGATGAAAAAAATGGGAATATGCAGAGAGCATATCTGAATCGCCATATGTAAAATAGGGAAAATCTTCTAAATCATAATGGGAAGGAAGCTTTTCACTACTATAGTGGAACACAAAAATTAGAGATAATATCTTCAACCAGCTTTTTCCTAAAATGGTCTATATAGTGCCCCATGTCCCTCTGATATTTTTCATGCTCTATGCATGTTTTCTATTGTCATCTTCCTGGTTTATGTATTTTTTTAAGAACCTGGTATACATAAGTAAAGTGTGCTTTTTTGTTCCATAATTAGTTCTATCAGATTATGTAACTTAAGTGTGTAGTTGCAAAAGCAATTCTAAGCAGAAAGTGTGAATCAGGTGGTATAGCGATACCAGATTTCAAACTATATTACAGAGCAATAGCAACAAAAACAGCATGGTACTGGTACCAAAACAGGCGGATGGACCAATGGTACAGAATAGAGGACACAGAGACTAATCCACAAAATTACAACTATCTTATATTTGATAAAGGGGCTAAAAGCATGCAATGGAGGAAGGATAGCATCTTCAACAAATGGTGTTGGGAAAACTGGAAATCCATATGCAACAAAATGAAACTGAATCCCCTCCTCTCGCCATGCACAAAAGTTAACTCAAAATGGATCAAGGAGCTTGATATCAAATCAGAGACTCTGCATCTGATAGAAGAAAAAGTTGGCTCTGATCTACATATTGTGGGGTCGGGCTCCAAATTCCTTAATAGGACACCCATAGCACAAGAGTTAACAACAAGAATCAACAAATGTGACTTACTCAAACTAAAAAGTTTTTTCTCAGTAAGAGAAACAATAAGAGAGGTAAATAGGGAGCCTACATCATGGGAACAAATTTTTACTCCTCACACTTCAGATAGAGCCCTAATATCCAGAGTATACAAAGAACTCAAAAAATTAGACAATAAGATAACAAATAACCCAATCAACAAATGGGCCAAGGACCTGAACAGACACTTCTCAGAGGAGGACATACAATCAATCAACAAGTACATGAAAAAATGCTCACCATCTCTAGCAGTCAGAGAAATGCAAATCAAAACCACCCTAAGATACCATCTCACTCCAGTAAGATTGGCAGCCATTATGAAGTCAAACAACAACAAGTGCTGGCGAGGATGTGGGGAAAAGGGTACTCTTGTACATTGCTGGTGGGACTGCAAATTGGTGCAGCCAATTTGGAAAGCAGTATGGAGATTCCTGGGAAAGCTGGGAATGGAACCACCATTTGACCCAGCTATTGCCCTTCTCAGACTATTCCCTGAAGACCTTAAAAGAGCGTACTACAGGGATACTGCCACATCGATGTTCATAGCAGCACAATTCACAATAGCTAGACTGTGGAACCAACCTAGATGCCCTTCAATAGATGAATGGATAAAAAAAAAAGTGGCATTTATACACCATGGAGTATTATGCAGCACTAAAAAATGACAAAATTATGGAATTTGCAGGGAAATGGATGGCACTAGAGCAGATTATGCTTAGTGAAGCTAGCCAATCCCTAAAAAACAAATACCAAATGTCTTCTTTGATATAATGAGAGCAACTAAGAACAGAGCAGGGGGGAAGAGCAGGAAGAAAAGATTAACATTAAACAGAGACATGAGGTGGGAGGGAAAGGGAGAGAAAAGGGAAATTGCATGGAAATGGAGGGAGACCCTCACTGTTATACAAAATTACATATAAGAGGTTGTGAGGGGAATGGGAAAATAAGCAAGGAGAGAGATGAATTACAGTAGATGGGGTAGAGAGAGAAGATGGGAGGGGAGGGGAGGGGGATAGTAGAGGATAGGAAAGGTAGCAGAATAAAACAGTTACTAATATGGCATTATGTAAAAATGTGGATGTGTAACCAATGTGATTCTGCAATCTGTATTTGGGGTAAAAATGGGAGTTCATAACCCACTTGAATCTAATGTATGAAATATGATATGTCAAGAGCTTTGTAATGTTTTGAACAACCAATAAAAAAATAAATTAAAAAAAGAACCTGGTATACATAAGTAAAGTGTGCTTTTTTGTTCCATAATTAGTTCTATCAGAATATGTAACTTAAGTGTGTAGTTGTAGAGACTGCCAGTTTATAGGAAACTGATCATAAATACTGATGTTATTCTGAGGCTTGCAACTGGCACTTAAAGTTAGTGAAATTCTATAGGAGTAAACCCCAAATTGTGACATCTATAGGAGTATCAGAATTGAATTATAGGACTACTATTTGTTGGAACATTTTTTTTTGTTGTGCAATTTGCATGTTTGTTATCAAAAGATGTTGTATAGAAAAGTGTGGTGGCACACACCTGTAGTCCCAGTGATGTGAGAGAATGAGACAAGAAGATGGCAAATGGGAGGCCAGTCTCAGTAATTTAGAAAGGTCTTAAGCAACTTGGTGAGTCTCTGTCTCAAAATTTAAATAAATAAATAAACATTCTGGAAATGCAGCTCAGTGGTAGAGTAGAGTAGACCCTAGATTAAATTCTTAATTGAAAAACAAAACAAAACTTTCAGAAAAAAATACATCACAGGTCATAACCTTAAACTAGGTCTAGATATGTGTTTGTTCACTATGAAAATTGATATCCTAGTCTCCATACTTTTAGGGGAGTAATTAGGGTGTAAAAACCTTTCAGAATTTATTTTTCCAGTTTAGTATTCCCAAACTCCCTACTTTAAAATTAGCCATGTGGGGATACAACTCACAGTGAGAGTCATTTCCCATATCTGGGGATGTTTAATCTGATGTTACAGTTCCTTCATGAACTGTGGGGTTAATAGTCTATTAATTTGCTTTTCTCTTTTATCTTTTTTTATATCATTGTTCCATGTTATACAAGTTTGCCCAAGTACCTAAGTGTTTTGTAATACTGTGATAATTAAAATTTTTATTTTATCATTTGAAAAGTGAGTGAATTGTGATGTTGTGGTATAAAGAAATAATATATATGGTACTCGTTTTATGATATTATTTAATAATGAGAATATAGACAACTTGGAGATTGTCATTTAAATAAATATATGGGCTTTTGGAAGTTTTGGTGTGTCTCACTGATGTCATATATCTTACACACACAGAGGTGACCATGGTCCTATGAGTCTTGTTATTACTTAAAATTTTGCTTGCTATGTATATCTCAAGTATAATTGCATCATTTGGTTGGGCTTTTTTGAGTATTCAATAACTTATTGCAGTTGTCATTTATCCATTAAGATTATGTTGGAAAGTTTTACTACTTTTTTTGCTTTAGTGTTTTGCTTCACATGTGTTGCTCTCTGGATTTTATTATACCAACTTTATTCATCAATTTCACTACTTATAACTAATTATTGGGGCTAAGGATATAGCTCAGTTGGTAATGTACTTGCCTTGCATTCACAAGGCCCTGGCTTCAATCCCCAGCACCACAAAAAAGTACCTTATTGAATGATTGAGAGCATTTCCCTATGTGAGAGCCTGCTCTTCTAACTCTCATTACAACCTTTGTCAAATTAAATATTGTGTCAATGATCATATGGTTGATGTGATATATATTTAATCATTTTTATTTCAGGAACCATTGATGTTCAAGGATGTGGCAATTGCTTTCTCTGATGAGGAGTGGAAATGCCTGGACCCTGTTCAGCAGACTTTATATGGAGATGTGATTTTTAGAGATCTATAAAAACCTGGTCTTTGTGGGTGACCATAAATTTCCATCAGAATTCCTAGTTAACTACCAATATTTAATTTTTTAAATTTGTAGAATATCTTTTTGCCACTTCTATTCTGCACAAAAATGTTTTAAGTTCTTGTTTTTAGAATGAAGATTGGGCATTTGCTTATTTAGAAAGAAATGTTAAAGGGTTTTCTTTTTATGACCAACCTATCTTTTCAAAGTGATGCTGACTATCTGGAGATTGAAAATTGTTGCAAAGTATTTTAGTGGTTCTGTCAAAAACAAAATTTGAAAAAAGTAATTGTCTAGACTCTTCTATGATTCCTTTATTTTTCCTAATGAGTTCAGCATTTAAAAACATCAGTAGTTAGCAAAATTTAAAAAAAATGAACCATATTCCATTTTCCAACAAACACAAAATCTTTAAATCATCCTTGGTCATTTCTGTCTCAAAAGCAATAACCTTGGAATTTGAAGAGAAAAGTGACAGTAGCCATATATTCATGTGGGTAAAAGTCAAGGAAGCAAAGAATATGAATAAGATGTCAAAATGAAGATTTTTATTTCGTTATCGTACCTGAAGCTTAATTTTGCTGGATACAGAATTCTTGGTTGGCATCCATTGTCTTTCAGTGTTTGAAATACGTTGTTCCAGGATCTTCTCGCTTTCAGCGTCTGTGATGAAAAATCCGTTGTTAACCTTATTGGTTTACCCCTGAATGTAATCTGCCTCCTTTCTCTTGTAGCTTTTAGTATTTTCTCTTTGTTCTGTATATTGGATATCTTCATAACAATGTGTCTTGGCGTTGGTCTACTGTGATTTTGTGTGCTCGGTGTCCTGTATGCATCTACAATTTGTATATCCGTTTCCTTTTTTATTTCTGGAAAGTTTTCTGTAATTATTTCTTTCAGCAGGTTACTCATTCCCTTGGTTTGAATCTCTGTACCTTCTTCTATCCCGATGACTCGTAGGTTTGGTTTCTTTATGTTATCCCATATCTCTTGGATGTTTTTCTCGTGGTTTTTAACCAGCCTTTCTGAGTTGGCTAGGCTCTTTTCAAGATGATATATTTTGTCTTCATTATCTGATGTTCTGGCTTCTACTTGCTCCACTCTGTTAGTGATACTCTCAATTGAGTTTTTAATTTGGTTTATCGTTTCCTTCATTTCTAGAATTATTGTTTGTTTTTTTTTTATAATCTCAATCTCCTGATAAAGATGCTTAACTTCTTCTTTTATCTGTCTATGTAATTCATTTTCAAAGTGTTCTTTCACTGTTTGGATTTGCTGTCTCGTATCTTCTTTAAGGTTCCATTCCATCTGTCTAAGGTATTCCTTGAGTTCTTTATATGACCATTTTTCTGCTGACTCTAGGTCCTCCTGAATATTTAGGCTGTCCTTCATTGTTTGTACTCCTTTTCTTCCTTGCTTTTTTATGCTGCTCATGTTACTTCTTGTTCTGTTTGACTGCTGAGTTTCTGTTTACTCTTATAGATTTATTTGATGCTTGAGAGGAAAGATATTAGAAGGGAAGGGAAGAAGTCACTAAAGAGAGTGAGAGTAGGCAGGTAGAATTCAAGGAAGGGGGAATAAGAAGATTGAAAAGAAATGAAAAGACAAAAGAAACAAGAATAACAAAGATTAGATAATAAAGAAAGAAAAGACGGAAAAAAAAATTTTAACAAAAATAATAGTGATAATAAAAAATGAAAATTAAAATTAAAAAAATAATAATAATAAAATAAAAAAAAATTAAAAAAATAGAAACATTGAAAAAAAATTAAAGAACAACAACAAATAAAAATTGAAAATGAAAGAAAAAGAAGAAAGAAAAAAAAAAGAAAAAGAAAAGAAAAAAAAATGATAATAATAATAATAATAAATGCAGTCCTAGAGTTCTATTAACTTCTCTTCCAGTAGGTGGAGCTGTGCCCACTGGGCCAAGCTTCTCCTGTCAATAGGTGGGAACCATTCACTGTGCAGCAGCTCTTTCTCCTAGACTGGGCGGGTCTCCAATCCTGAGTGTCTAGGGCCTTGTCTTGTGTTTCCTCAAGCGAGGCCGTGCTCACCTGTGGCGCTCACCACAATACTGTCTACACGCCAGGTCTGCTGCTCCTGGGAGCCCTGTTTTCATGAACACCTGGGCTCACTCTCCCTGTTTGCCTCCCTCAGACCCTAAGTTCGTAGAGCTTGGGGCTGAGATCCCCCAGCGAATTTGCTTGCCCTCCTGTAGCCACGCCCCCGGTAGCTGGTGCAAGAGACCTCAGTTGTCAGCACTGGTGGGAGCGGTAGCCGGGAGTTCCGCGCCGCGAGTCCTGCGCCACTCCTGGTTCCCTCGGTCTGGTTATTGCGTTCACAGGAGAGCTGGGAGTGGCCCTTAAGGTTTCCCCCGCTGTGTGGAGAGAGATGGCTAGGGGATTACACACCTGTCGCGCTGGTTTCAATGCAGTTATCTCCTCCGCCCGTGACGCCATTTCTCTGCCATGGTGATATCCCATGCAAATGGTGACCGTTTGTTCCCTTTGCCGGATGACCAATGCAACGGGTGGGTCCTGACTGTCTCTCCCAATCCCCGTTTCAGTCCTGTGGCCACTGCCTATGAAGGCTCGGTTGGCTTTTACCTCTGTAAGTTCCTAAGGGCCGGCCAATTATTTCAGCGGGATCGTTAGTGCTGAGTCACATGAAGCAGGTGAACCGGAGCTTAATTGCCTCCGATTCGGGCTCTGTGTGTGTGTTCTGAGGGGCCCAGCCTGTACACCCCAGATCCACGTCAGCTCAGCATTGCCTAGTGATCCTGAGCAAACAGCATTTAGACAGTTTACGGCTCCCTATGCCCTCACAGTTGAAGATGTCAGAGACTTGATCTCTCTGCGCCTGCCACCATGTTACATCTCCTCAGTAATATTCATGTTGCCCTTACAGCTTCCTGGTATAAGCAAGTTCTTGGGATTATACAAACTGCTGCTTCTGTTTCCAGTCCAGATTTCTAGAAATGAAACTCTGGGCCGCGCTGACGAGCGTCCGCGCTTGTCTGCGACCGTAGCAGAGCCGCCCTGGCAAGCGTCCGCGCTTGTCTGCGCCCGTAGCAGAGCCGCCCTGGCCTCCGCAGCTCTTCAGCCCGGTGCCAGGCCCCAGGGGCCCAAGCGGCTGCCGCCGCGGCTCTCCGTCCCCCTCCTCCGGAGCACGGGTCCCCTGGCAGGGGGGTGCAGAACGACCCCAGAGCAGGCTCTGCCCGAAGGTGCAGCGGCGAACAGGCCACAGAGACGCTCGAGGCTGCAGTCCAGCCTTCGGAGGACAGGGCTCGGCACGCAGCCCAGCTGCAACCTCTAGGTGCGGCTGCCGGACAGTGTATATGGAGCCATCAAGACAGCAAGCAGAAAGCAAATGGCGGCTCCCGCGGAGTGGATTTTCGGCACAGAAACCACAGCCCCGCCAGCAATCCCAATCCACAAACTCTCCCTGTATAAAAAATATTCAAAAAAAAAAAAAAAGAGCAGATTATGCTTAGTGAAGCTAGCCAATCCCTAAAAAACAAATACCAAATGTCTTCTTTGATATAATGAGAGCAACTAAGAACAGAGCAGGGAGGAAGAGCAGGAAGAAAAGATTAACATTAAACAGATACATGAGGTGGGATGGAAAGGGAGAGAAAAGGGAAATTGCATGGTAATGGAGGGAGACCCTCATTGTTATACAAAATTATATATAAGAGGTTGTGAGGGGAATGGGAAAATAAACAAGGAGAGATATGAATTACAGTGGATGGGGTAGAGAGAGAAGATGGGAGGGGAGGGAGGGGGGATGGTAGAGGATAGGAAAGGTAGCAGAATACAACAGTTACTAATAGGGCATTATGTAAAAATGTGGATGTGTAACCGATGTGATTCTGCAATCTGTATTTGGGGTAAAATTGGGAGTTCATAACCAACTTGAATCTAATGTATGAAATATGATATGTGAAGAGCTTTATAATGTTTTGAACAACCAATAAAAAAAAAATTAAAAAAAAAAAAAAAAAAAGAAAAAGTCTGATCCCCACATCCACCAGTAGCTTCCTATCCACCATAATGCAGTATAGCCTGAGGATTCTCACCAGAGACTGATGCCATGGGCTTGCTTGATCTTGTACTTTCAACTGTGAGCTACATATCTCTTTCTTTGTAAGTATTCAGCTTTAGGTATTTTGTTATAGGAATAGAAAACTGACTAATGCATATGCTTATTGGCCATTTGTATGTCTTCTTTAGTGAAGTTTCTATTTAAGACATTTTGGCCATTTTTAATTGGATTACTTGCTTTTTATTGTTGAGTGCAGAAGTTCTTCATATATTCCAAACAGAAGTTTTTTGTCAGACATATGTGTTGGCAAATTTGTGGCCTAGCTATTTATGTTTTTAAATAGTGTCTGATGAGTAGGAATTTCTAATTTGGATGAAACCAAATTTATCAAGCTTTTTTTTTTAATGTTCTGTGCTTTCTGTGACCTAAGAAATCTTTGCCTATTCAAATTTGCAAAAATATTCTGTTTTCTTCAAGCAATTTATTGTTTTAGCTTTTAAGTCCCATAGTGAAACACAGTGGCCCATAGTGAACTGATTTTACATATAAATAAAAGGAAACAGTGTTATTTTTATTTTTTTCAAATATATATTCAGTTGTCTCTGTATCATTTATTGAAGAAATTCTCTTGCTACTGAATTTCCTTAGCATTCTTGTCAAAAGTCCCTTGACCTGGTATCTGGAGTCTATGTATAGACTCTGTTTTGTTCCTTTATCTATTAATGTATCCTTTGATCAATACTATACTATTTTGATTAGCTATGTAGTCAGTCTTTTAAACCAATGAAGGTAGGTTTTCCAAGTTTGTTCTCCTTTTTAAAAATGTTCTTGCTTTGACTATTTCAGGTACTTTCCCTTACCACATAAATTTAAAAATCACTTTATTGAAGAAAAAGAAGCTTGGAATTTCATTTGGGATAGACTAGCGTAGTAGAATTGACATATTAATAATACTGAGCTTCCCATTCCATGACCATGGTATAGGTAGCCCTTCATTAATTTACGTCTTAATTTCTCTCAGCAATATTTTATAGCCTCTAGACATGTATCTTTCATTAAGTTTATTCCTAAGTATTTGAATTTTATGCTAAAATAAATATTATTTTTCAATGTTTATTGTTAATTGTTCATTGCTAATATATGGAACTATACCTCTATTATATCCTACAACATTGTAATATAAATCACTAGCTCTTTTTACTTTTTAAATTCCTTTAAACAAAGTCATTTCACTAGTAAGAAAAGACTGTTTTACTTCTTCCTTTGCAAAGCATATATCTTTTATTTATTTTTCTTATAGTACTTCTTTGTCTAAGACTTCTAGTAAAATGTTAAGTAAAAGTTGTAAGAAAGATAAAAAAAAAAAAAAAAAAGATGTCAAAATGTCAAAAAAAAAAAAAATAAGTCACTCTTTAAAATGTTGAGAAGCTAAATTCTAGCAGAAATTATATTTCTAATCCTAGGTTTTATTGTCTTGCATTCATAACAGAGCATACCCTGCCCCATGTTTGACATACTTCCCAATTCTTTAAGCTCCTTCTTGTATTTCAGTTATCTCCCTACATTTAAATAAACAAAGCACACCCTAATGCCTGTAAGAATTTGCATAATTTGACAGATGTCTATTGATCTTTAGAAACTCCTTAGAAAATCTGTGCATATTTTTGATATCTCTAGGTTGAACTATTGTAATATATTAATATCATAGAAGAATTTCTTTAATATAATTCATTTATTTATTTATTCAAATTTCCTCATCAGAACATTTTATTATTGCTTATACTGGATTTTCTGTGAAAATTTTCTGTCATGTAATGAATAGTAGTGATTCACAATGCCTGCTCCTAGACTATAAAAATATAGCTGATAAATGTAATTTAAAGAAAGATTTCTAGGGCTGGGGCTGTAGCTCATTGACTGAGGGCTTGCATTGCACATGTGAGACACTGAGTTTGATCTTTGGTACCACTTAAAAATAAACAAAAAAGTAAAATAATAACATTCTTTTCGTTTATAATTACAAAAAAAATAATTAAAGAAGGATTTCTAAGGTACTACTGTGTTTAGAATTTTGTGAGTTAGATTTTCTCTAATTCTTGTTTCTCTTTTTGAGATCCACTGTTTCGAGTAGCTTCAGTATTGCTCAGTAATACTGAGTTTTCTCAAATCAGTAATTTAAAAAAAAAATTATTATACATATATGTTATAATTGAGTAAAAATTTTTCTGACTTCTCACTTGAGGACAATATTAGGTAAAATTAAATTGTACCTGAACCATGTTCCCATTTTTAAGAAAGTTAAATATGCTTATTTACATGTATAAATATTACCCCTACTTTGTTTATTATTTGTGTATAGTGCCTTGATTGTTTACTCTGTTTATGTGATTATTCATATAATTTATCTAAATTTTATTATATTTAAGCATATGTATACTGGAGATTGAAGTCAGGAGTGTTATACTACTGAGCAACAATTCCAGCCCCTTTTAATTTTTATTAAAAAAAAATTCTTGCTAAGTGACTGATGCTGAATTTGCATTTTCCTTCCTCAGACTCCCAAAGTAGCTAGAATTACTAACATATTCATCATCTCTATACAGATGAATCTGTTCTTTGTCTAGTAGTAAAAATCTAGCATTTTAAAGATTTTTACAATTTTGTTTATCTTTTAGGAAGACAGCTTAGGTCCCCCAAGTGCCTCTCTTTAAAATGCAAAGCCATCCACTGTGACAAAAATATCAATCAGTAAGCTGCTTCTGTAGATAAAGCCAAGTCTGCAACAGAGATGTTACCTGCTCCCCAACACCTGGTGAACTCAGGATGAGCTAAGGACAACAGATGGCACCCTTGTACCCTCTCACTTGGGGACCAGGTATGTAGTCCACATATGCAGAACACTGAGTCTCCCCCGCTTTGCAGAGATCTGTCTTTGCAGCGCCTCCAGGGGTTGCCTGCGTGGCACATCCCCAATGGCTGAGCACATATTAAATAATACAAATGCTTTCTACAGCCTTTGTGGTGAGATTTTTGGCTTAAGAAAACTTGGTTTTTAATTCTACTTCAATGCTCCCCTCAAAACTGGAAATGCTCTGCGTGGCTTACTAGTTAAATGTCACCATGAGGGAACAAGAATGAGGGAGGAGGATAAGTCAAGAATTACTTGAAAATAACAAATTCTTAAAAAATTCATCGTGTTATCTACAATTCCCTCTCCAAGTCTGCAGTCCAACTAGTATGCGCAGTGCAGCGGCAGTGGCCTGCGGCCGAGGAAGATGGGAACAGTTCGCTCCCAAAGGGAAATCTTCAAAGAAGGTTCAAATATCTTAATGACCTTTTCTGGACTCTTCCAAAGGCCGCCTGGTCCCGCCACCCCACGATCTGGCCCTGCTTACCAGGTGGCCTGCCAAAGGGCCCCTGGCCCAGCCCGAGCCTGCGCAGGGGGCCACCAGGCCCCACTCCGCCCTCGGTGTATTCCCATTGTGAACGCAGCCTCTGCCCTGAGCTGGGGAGGCTTCAGCTGGGTGGTGCCCTTGTTGTCCTGGACACAGACGCCATGCCCAGGCAGCTCCAGGCCTTCAGGTGACCCAGCGCGACTCCAGGGAGACAGAGGCAGGACGTCTTCACTCCCAGGCCTGAGCCCCCTAGGAGTGGGGCCGTTGGAGGCTGAAGGACATGCAGGATGCACGTGGGCCACCGACTCCTGGGGACCGGGTGGACCCATGTGGACCCGCTGGTGGCATTGTGGGCCCAACTGGGCCAAGCCTGAGTGGTGTGACCATCAGGAACCTGGAAGCCCACTGCGAGCATTGGGCATTCCTGGTGGGGACCAGGCCTACGGCTGGGGCGCTCCGCACTCCGGGGCGCCAGGTGCACACAGGCTGAGATGAATGGAAATTCTGCTTTTATCTTATTTATTTATTTTTTTAAATAATATTGAGTGTTTAATTCAGGGGTGCTTAACTACTAAGCTATATCCACAGCTTTTGTGTGTTTGTGTGAGTGTGTGTGAGTGTGTATGTGTGTGTTTGTGTGCTTCTTCTGGGTATTGAACCTAGGGCCCTGTGCATATGAGGCAAGCACTATACTAATGTAGCTCTATTCCCACCCCTTTTTCTCTTTCCCTTTTTTTTCACAATTTTTAAAATTTCTTTTTTTTTTTTTTTTTATTATTATTTTTGAGGCAAGATCTTGCTGAGGTTCTTAGAGTCTTTGTAAGCTGATAAGACCAGAGAAAAATGTCACCCAAACTGTAGCTTTGTGTTTTTTTCTCTTTTTAAACCCAGCCCTAACATCAGTAGGGGCTGCTCTCCTTTGCTCTGGAGCAAGCCCTGGCCAGTAATAAAGGCTTCCTGTTGGAATTCTGCTGACCGTGTGTAGACTATTTTATTATTGAGGGATTTACTCAGCTGGCAGGATATAACAGAACAAAATTGATGTCATCATAGCCTGATGATAAAATTGTTTAGGTACATTCAAATATATCTGACTCTCTATGCAAGTGGAGGCCCCCAAAGATGTTGGCGACAGAGAATAAGGTAGAGGTTCAGGGTGCTGTAAAGAAGAGAATTAAGGACTCCACACTTCATCTCCATTCATCCAAGGAAAAGGGATCACAGGAAGCTGGAAGTCTCAAGGCCTCCCATATTTAATTAGGGCAAAGAGAAGCAGGATGCATTTTAGTGAATTAGTAAGAGTCCTGATAGATTTATTTATTGTCGAGTCTATGGAGTTTTTTGCAAAATGAGAAAGTGTGGGATCAGCTTTCTTGGACTCACAATGAATGCCATTTTTTTCCTTAAAGAGAGAGACCATTGAGAGTCTCTCTCTCTCTCTCTCTCTCTCTCTCTCTCTCTCTCTCTCTCTCTCTCTTTCTCAATACAAATCTATCTATATATAATTTCTTTTTGTCTTATGTAATAATAGCCAACATTTATTGACTTTTTACTAGATGGCAAAGACCAGGTCAGTTGTTTTATGTGCATCATTTTATTTAATAATCTAAACAACTCTGTGGGATAGTTACTATTATTACCCATGGTTCACAGATAAAGAAAGAGTTTCAGAGAGTTGAAGTAACTTTCCCAAAGTTACATAATAATGGAGAATAACAGAACTTGATTTGGACCCTAGAAGACTAATCTCAAACATCTCTTTTGTTAGAATTTTACTTTCTTGCCTCTCTTCTATGTTTAAAATATAATATACCTTTATAACTCACTGAGCAACTTGTCAAAGTGGATCTATAATCAGCATGTTTAAAGGAAAAAAAATCTAACATTACACATGCTAAATTCTGCTATTATAAGCAGTACCTCATCCAAGTAGGATATATTTACTACAAACTTATAAAACATCTATAATTTTATACTATTTTCACCTTTTAATGAGCCTAAGCTAAAAGGCTGACCCTTTTCTGGAACCATGAAATGTCCTTTATTCTTGAGGTACATGAAATAAAATATCTGTACAAATAGTCCTCCTTTGCAAGGACATTGTTTTCTTTTATTCTCTCAGGGAAATCATAATCCTATGTCTTATACCAAGAGCTTTCTGAGCACCACCACAGACTTTAACATCAGAATTTCACTGCTATTTTTGGTAAAAACTGGTTGTTTTATGGTTGTTTTAAAAAAGATAACTTCATTTGAGAGGTGGTGTAGAGTAAGCAAAGAAATTTGTAGAGAGGAGAAGCATAAACACAGGAAGAATGCAAAAAATGAATCTTCCTTGCAGTTTTTTTTAAAGGACTATTATGAAAAAAAATGGAAGTTATTTTGTTAATCCTAAGACTGTGCTCTCCTTCAAACCTAAAATGTTAACTTTATGAGCTATCAAAAGGATACCCAACAATATTAGCCCAAAGCTCCCCAAATATTCATCAGCTGAATGGATAAATAAATTGGGTATATTCACCCACACAAATAAAAAAGAATTGTTGCTATTTTTATCAATTTGGACATATTACTTGGCATTATATTGAGCTAAAGAAGACACCAAAAATGCATCTTATGTTCAATTGAATTTAAATTCAGTCCAACAACAGATTAACCTATGACATTAGAGGTCAGAATAGTAGTTAACCTTGGGACAAGGACAATATAGTGATATTTTTTGTTCCTTGACTTGGATGCTAATTACCCAAATGTAATCACCTTGTGCTGTATGCTTCTGATTTGGGAATTTTTCTGGCTATATGCAATAATTTAAAAACAAATTTTAAGAAATAAAATAAGGAGTTCCCACCCAGAAGAAGAAGAAGAAGAAGAAGAAGAAGAAGAAGAAGAAGAAGAAGAAGAAGAAGACATCTACTGAAATGATATACCACAAGTGCTGCTACCTGTGGGGAGAAAATTCATTATGTATCATTTAATGTGACCAGAAAGAGAACCACTTAGAAAGCTAACCATGCATGTTCAATTCATTTCTGAAAATCTTCTTCCAGAATTCATTCTTACAATGAATTCTTCTCTCACATAAAACTATGGCTATCAATTAATATAAGGTGTTGTTTTATATAAAATTAAAAAAAAAAAACAGGAAAAATCTGAAAATACCTGGAATACTAAGGGTCTAAAAATCATCCCAACTATCACCACATTAATGCAAGGACCTCAGTAATGACCCAATCTCTACCAAGTTTTCTGCTGGAGAGATTGAACTCTACTGTTAAGGCCACAGGTGGGGAAAAACATTCAAGAAAATGCTATGAAACTCAAAGGAATGTTCAGAAAAGCACTGCCTTCTCCTTAGGTCTATAGTGGGCTCATCTAGGAATTTGTTTAGAAGATTTTTATCTTGATAAGGTAATATGACCAACTGTCAGATCAATTAATTTTTTTGTCATTCTCAGTATTCTCTAGTCCCTTTTTGATCAACATGGTATACTGCATGATTGCTCAATATGATTCATATAAAAGGTGATAGTATACAAACTTGCATCAGAAATAAATATACCCTAAATTACATAAGATAATGAGAAATACACATTGCTCATTTTTACTCAAAACTTTATAATAACTTCACCTGTTACTGCTGTAGAGTCCCTTTGGTCCCAGAGCATAGGAGGGAGGCATTGGCAGCTTCCCCAAATGCTGGGGGACTAATTAAATATTTGTATTTATTTCATCATTAGCTCTTAGACAAAATATGTTCCCAATCTTTGAAACAGAAACTGACTTTTGGTAGAGGTAGGGGACAGAAATAAACACCCAGTCTCTGTACATTATTGAACATCAAACTAGTGATTCAACACAACACTGAGGCAGATAAGGTTTCCAAGGCAAATATCAACCAGAGACATATTCCATGCTTATAGGCAGCTCAATTCCAATCATTTAGTCCTTTTTCCTCAACTAAAGAAGATCTCAATCTTTAATTCCCACATCTAAATTAAAAGTTCTCCCTACCTCAGCCTTGTTTTAAATACTTATCCTTCTAAGTTTAAATTTTCCTTTCAACCCAATGCCCAGTATTCTACTTCCTCCTTCATCTCAAATTATCTCTTTAACTTGATTTTACTTATTTTTATAGACTCCTCCCAAGTCTCTACCCCAGGATAGGTACAATCTAAAAAGACTACACCCTACATTGAAGCTTAACCACAGAGGCCCACAATACAATTTTCCTTGCTTAGGTTTAGGAAGGATATATTTTAACTAAAATTTCATTATCATAAATTCCTTCCCTACATTTCTCCTATTCCTCTTTCTGTTTTAAACACAATCACAATGTAGCAAACTCTCAAAATTTCTAAAAATATGTAACTGTAAGTATGCCACAAATACCATTTAAAATTTCAATGTTAGGGATAGAGATTAAAAAATACACTAAAATTTTCTTATAAGTTGTGTTTTTTGTTTGTTTTCAGTGGTAAGAAGGCCATAGAGGATTGAGGGCCTTCATACAGAACCAATTGCTTCACCTGAAACTACAAACTGTATTGCAGCAAAATTCCATTGAAGACTAAACCTTTTTTTTTTTTTCTGTAAAGGGAAAAAGTTGAAATTGCACATAATAAAAAGGAAAGTCTCTATACCTTGCCCATAAGGATACAAGATATTAAATAACTCATTTTCCCACTTCAGAAACAGGCTTCATGTACCAAACTAGAGCATTATGAAGTATGTATTAATGATTAATAGAAAAAAATCATCTCTCCACTTTCTACCCTTCAAAGACTTAAAACCATGGTAAAATGGTTTTAGAGAATGCCCATGAATTTGATTATCAATTCAGAATACAACCTAAGGGATAATTTGTGAGTGGCATCTGGGATCCAGGCAGCCTTGTCAATAAAAATAAAACTTGTTGAGATCATCCAAATTTAAAATTCACACATATTTTTACATCTGGATTGAATTAATCTTTTCTTGGTACAGGCTTCCAGGTAATAAAATAGTTGTTTGCAGGTCTCATAAAAAAAGCCACATCTTTGGAAATTAAAATGTGCAATATTCAAGTTGAAAACCACAAAAAGAATTCCTTTATCAAAAAAGTTAGTTGTGAGACAGGATTCATTTGCATTAAACTCTAAAACTGACAGCACAGTCAAAACAATTCTGTTTGAAACTCTCATTCCAAGTATCTGCCACAAAAGGGTACACAGTCTATTATGTCATAAGTTCTGAAATCCAAAAGCTTTATAAACATAGTTAAAGGTGGAAACAGGATCTGAATCTAGAAAAAGCTCTAATTCACCCCTAATTCAGCTAGCCCAGTCTAATGATAATTTTAAGAAACCTGGAGCTAAAAACTGTTACCTGGCACACTGGAATTTGTTTTCAAAAGCAGTGTCTGTATCATATCCCATGTTGTTTTCAGGCATTCTCCTGTAAAACCAGCAGCATCTTAAATTTGCAAGTTCAAATTGTGTACTTACTCCTGATAC